AACTGCTGAGCCAAACCGGCCAGGGATGTATCACAATTTTAATAAACCAGGATAGAGGGAAGCTGCGAGCGTGGAAGCGCGAAGGGGTGAGGGACGACTGTAAACACGCTCAGCGGTGGGATAAAGGGCATTCATGAACGCTGCAACCACTGGGTGCTTACTATAGACTAAGCATTTTTCTAGGCTCTGTGGAGATAGCAATCGACATGACAAAGTCTCCCTTCAGAGAACGCATTCTAGTGGAAAAGACAAAATAAATGTAAAATTAGTGATAAATGATGTGAAGAAAAACCAGGATGAAGAGGAGCAGCGGCTCGAGGTTGCTATTTTAGAAGAGGGTAGAGTGGGGAGGTCCGGGGAATCTTGAAGGCAGCGGGCACTGGATTTTTGTGAAGGGAAGGAAACCCACAGTCTTCTCTCTGAAAGCACTGCCACGGGGGTGGGTTCTCTCTGTGGATCTGTGGCAGACTCCTGCTTGTCTCGAATATCCACCCTCCCCTTCGTGAGTCACAGTGGCTGGAGTCTAACCAGGTACAGAGACACACGGCTGAAGATGACATCCGCAAGCTTTCTTGCAGGCCGCGGGACTACGTTCAGGACAAGACCAAAAGGAACGTGTGCCTCTTGACGATCATGCTCTTAAAAGAGTGGTCCTGCCTTCTTCCCCTTGTGCCTTTCTCCCTTCCTGTTTGGATACAGATGTGCTGGCATGTCAGCAGCAGCTGGAACAGTCGTCCTGTACTACAAGGAACCCACTGAGGATGGCAGAGCAGCACAATGTGTTGGCATACCAGCCCGAGTGCTCATGCTGTTAAGAAAGGAATGTCTGTTTTGTATAAACTAATTTGGGTTTTTGTTATGGCAGAAGTAGCTTGTACCCTAATTCAGAGGCATATTGGAGAAGCAATAACTTTCTTGCCCACAAGGAAGTTAATTACACAACCATAAGTGTTTATAAGTATACTGTCAACAATTCAAATGGAAAGGTACCTTGATGAAAAGGCAGCATGGTATTCTGGAAGAAAAATTAAACTTGGTTTTTTTCAGCCCCATCTCTGCCCATTAACAATAGTAAAAGCTTGGAAAAAAAAGTAACAGTGCTAAGTTCCTCCTTTTCCACCTACAGACAAGGTTGTTGTGTACAGTTACATGAAAACACTCTGAAAGTATAATACAACTTATCAACAAATTATTGTGGCACTTAGTTTACAAAAAGACTTATTTTGGCTTATCAGTGGCTAGCCTTATGATTCTCAAATGATTCCTTTTCATGATTTATGATTGTGAAGAGGAGGATCTAAGTCGCTTAGAAGAACCTTCCCAAGTCTAAGATCTAATATATGAAGGTAAAGAATGCAACATGTCACAGAGATCACCGGGACTAAATTAAGATTTTATTATTTTTTTTATCCTCACCCGAGGACATTTTTCCATCTTTTTTGTTCAGACAGAGCGAGAGGGAGAGAGAGGAAGAGAGAAAGAGAGAGAAACATCAACGTGAAAGGGACACATTGAGTGGCTGCCACCTGCACGACCCCACCAGGGCCAGGGACAAACTGCAACCAAGGTACATGCCCCTAGCGGGAACCGAACCCAGGACTCTCTGGTCTGCAGGCTGATGCTCCAATCACTGAGCCAAACCGGCCAGGGCTACATTAAGATTTTAAATAATATGGCCCTGGCCGGTTTGGCTCAGCGGTTAGAAAGTCAGCCTAAGGTCCAGAGAGACCCAGGTTCGGTTCCCCCTAAGGGCATGTACCTCGGTTGCAGTTTGTCCCCGGCTCTGGTTGGTTGTGCGGGTGGCAGCCACTTGATGTGTCCCTTTCACGTTGATGTTTCTCTCTCTCTTCCTCTCTCTCCCTCCCACTCTATCTGAACAAAAAAATGGAAAAATGTCCTTGGGTGAGGATAAAAAAAAATATTTTAAATAATATGAAAGTAATTTAAGCCCAGCCGGTGTGGCTCAGTAATGGAGCATTGACCCAGGCACCAAGACATCACCAGTTCGATTCCCGGTCAGGACACATGTCCAGGTTGTGGGCCCGATCCCCAGTGGGGAGCATGCAGGAGGCGGCCAGTCGATGTTCTCTCTCTGAAATCAATAAATAAAAAAGAATAAAGAAAATAATTTAAAATTTACCATAACATTGCCCTGACTGGTTTGACTCAGCGGTTAATCAACCTGCGGACTGATGAGTCATGTTCCGGTCAAGGGCACGTCTTGGTTTGTCCCTGGCCCTGGTCGGGTCCTGCAGGAGGCAACCAGTCAATGTGGCTCTATCACATCGATGTTTCTGTCTCTCTCTCCCTCCTTCCCTCTCACTCTGTCTGATAATAAGTAGAAAAATATCCTCCAGCGAGGAATAAAAAAAAATTTTTGTAACATTCATTGGACAGTTTATCCCAAATCTTTCTTTACACTGGGGTGATTTGTTTCAGGCTACTCCTTATTGAGTGTTTGGCACAAATGACTAAATGATTCCCCCCAAATCCCTTCAATCTCAGACACATAGACCTAAATGCCCAGAATATGTAAACATGTTCCTGAAAGGCAAAATGAAATTTTACTAACTAAAGGGCAGTCTGAAAGGTAAGGTAATAATATCTGTGGAAGGAGAACATCTTGTATGTTTCTAACTTGCCTAAAAACAGCCAACCTAGCCCGGCCAGTGTGGCTCACTGGTTGAACGTCAACCCATGCACCACGAGGTGGCTGGTTAGATTCCCGATCAGAGCACATGCCCAGGTTGTGGGCTCAATCCCCAGTGGGGAGGCAGCCAGTCGATGTTCTCGCTCATCAATGTTTCTCTCTAAAATCAATAAAGAAAAAATATTAAAAAAAACAACAACAACAGCCAACGTATGTTACAGCCTCTCAGGTGAAGGCAGGGACCAAGCCAGAGCTGCTTTTAGGCTGCTCTTGGCTTCAGTAAGTCCTCTTAAGCCCAGTTCATATAAAGACGCTAAACGATAGCTCTGCTCTTTCTCTTACAAAAAAAAAAAAAAAAAAAAATACCCCAGTCTCCCAGTCAATCTCCAATAACATTGTTTTTTGGAGCAATGAGCAAATAGTTTATATTTTAACATTAAAAAAAAATCTAACTTTTCTAATTACCTACATCTAACTTTTCCATTAGGAATTATAAACCAGCCCAGATTGTCAATTATGTCAAATCTCCAAAATGTACACATTTTATTAAAAGTTTTCAGAAAAGATATGGTAATGACTATAAAGTAATGAGATGAATTGGTATGAGTATCTTTTGGAGCAGCGTATCTGGCTAACATATATTCAAATTTCACGAAGGTAACAAGATGTATAAAAATAATCTTATCTATACTGCCCGAAGCTCACTCAAAGCCTGTAGATGTCTACATCCTTTGAACAACTGACACTATCAATGAAACAGAATAAAAATCTCCACATGAATTTAGAATTTTTTAGACCTTTATGTATAAAATGCATGGTACATTATATTTTTTCAAGATTTAATATATCCGATCCCAATAAAGCTGAAAAAAAAATATATATGAGAAGAAAACATTTACGAGTTGCTTACTGTGATGCGAGGTGCCTAAAAGGCCCTGTGGTCGCATCTGATCCTCAGGGCATTATAGTCATTTCACTAATGAGGAAACTGAATGAAGTGATTTGTCTGCAAGCAAGTGATAAAGTCTGCCAGACTCAAAAATAAAATATATTTTAAATAACTACTTTAGATAGTAGGTTAATGTAAGAAACAAGACAAATTGACCATTGGCAATTTTTTTTTTTTAAGCCACTCTAGGGTTTCAACTTAAAGTATTTATACTCGCCTTATAATTTGGTTTTAAGTGATTTAAACCTTTTTCTTGTGCTTACTGCTTCTATTACACTGTAATTTCCTTGCAGGCAGACAAGGGACTCAATTTTCTATCCTTTGGAACATAAATGGACTGCCAACCACTGATCTGTAAAGGTAGGCACTCAATAGACTTGTTCTACTGTAAGTCTGAAACCAAATGACTCTTAAATAAAAAGAGTTCTCATTTAAAATAACATACACCAAAAGAATATGAAAATATGGATTTATTACCAACAAAGAAGTATTTCCCACAAAGACTTTTTGCAATTACACACACTAGGATAAAATTATATTTTCCACATACTAATGATCATACTCCAAAGAAAATAAGCACATGTTCAAAAGACAAGGAGAAAGCAGCAGGGTATCTTTCCTCTCTTACTTTGAATACTAAAAACTTTTCAATAGAGATTCTCTCTTCAGGCAAATCAATGAAGATTTTGTCATTAAAAGTACTTGCTTGTCACCTTAAGATTTTAAATATTTTATTCATCAAATAAGACTTTTATCTAAAGTTTTTACAATTTGAATGAAACTAAAAATAAACTGTCACAGAAATTATATGAAGTTTTAAGTGGCTGAGACTATAATGTGCTAGACTTATTCTTTTATTAATATGTTGATGATGTATAATTTATCCTTCACAGCTCAGAACTCAATGCAAAACCAAACATTAACCTTATCCAGTAAAGAAATATAAATGCTAACAAACAAGGTATGGAATAATTACTGGCATGTGTAAAGTAAATAAAATCGACCACTGCATTTTATTTTCAAACACACCTAAAATTCAAGCTTCTTTGTCACAATGATACTCATTTTGCAGAAATAAGATGGCTGGCACTTAGACAATAAACAAACTACACCAAGCACATAATAATTAGTGAAGATATTTTGGTGGAAAATAAAATATTAAACAATAAACATTTTTGATAACAACATCAAATTACCAAGTTTTTCAATGTTTACATGTTATTTAAAAATATTTTCATAGTACATGCATTAGACTTAGTTTAAGAGAAGTCTCTTTTAAAGTTATTATAAAGAAAAAAATATGTTTTTAAAGAGAAAATGTCCAAGTGAGAGGACATAAACTATGGTTCATTATTTTTTGACATAATAAGAATATAAATTTTAGTGGCTATTTAAGAATATAAAAAAACCCAAACTGAATGCGATTTCTCAATTTATTCAGGCTACCAAGTAAAAAAAATAATTTTGTTATTACTGGCACAAATCCAATCCACTGTTCAAAGACATGTCCTTTATCTTACAAGTTTGTTTTTAAAAGAACAGAATTTGTCTGGCACTGTTAACTGGTATAACTCAGTTGGATAAATAAATGATTTTCATACTGAAAGAAACAGTCGAGACTAGATTTTCTAAGACAAGGGGGAGGAGCACACGTAAGGAGACCCAGAGCTCAAGTTCTGGACAAGTGATGGTTTGAACAAGGCAGTGCTGTCCCTCACCCTTCACGTGACACCGAGAAATTTCAGATAGAAATCGTAGAAACCAGTATATGAAATCTTAAGAAAAATCTTACTAAAAATAATTATAAAAATGCTTTTAGAAATTTAAGATGTAAAATACAACTGACTTTAAATAAAAAAAAAAAAAACACGTACACACACACGCTTTACAGTTATTCCTTAAAAACCCTTGTCACTTGATTTTATTTTGTCAGTCTTTTTGGTTGCATTTTGCGTCATCTAGTGGCCACCTTGTGGCATTTCAAAAAAGTCCCACCACCATTTTAGAACCCAGTACTTTTTTTCCTTTGAGATACCAATACAATTATAGTATCAAATTTCATAAAACTTTTTTAAAGGCCCATAAAATTCCATTTCCTAGTGGTGTAAGGTAATCTTTTTTAATAGGAAGAAATGAATAGATTTGTCATAAATTATTACTGTACATTAAGACTAGACGTTTCCATATCAATATTTAAAAATTAAATATAACACTGGGAGAAAAGTATGACTTAAGTTCTCTAGTCATCTTTAGACTAAAGTTATTAAAATTACTCTGCAATGAAACCTCAGGGTCACCACGTCAACTAAACTTCTTGTGACTGACAACCCCTGCTGTACCTCTGATTTGAAATAGTAAATACATTTTAACATGGGAACCCAATGACTTGTGGTTAAGAGTGGTAAGAACCCAAGTCAATAAAGACAGAAAAAGACTTAATTTTTACTACCAGATGATATTCCACAGAAAAAAGTTGTTATGGTCTCCATTCATCAACCCATTTGTATTTAATAGCAAGTTTCCAAAAATAACTGATCTTTTAGTCTTAATGAATCTTTAATCAGTTGAGCCATACTTCAGGTTAACAAAAATCTGAAAGTTCTTTTCTTTCCTTTTTATTGAGGTTGAGTGAATGTAATCCGGCGCCGCCGTCTTTGGAAAGCCTTTAAGTTCCACCTGTTTGGTTCCAGCATATGAGGACCATTGTAGACAAATAGTACTGTCATCTTTTCAGAGTAAGGGAGATTTTGTAGGAGCTGTAAGTGTTCAAACAGTCATATAATGCTATAAACATTAAGCAGTACAATTTTTCAACCTTACATATGTATGAATATATTACTTGTAATATTAACGAAACTCTTCAAACAATTCAACACTTGACCCTGCCAGCCTGTGATCCTTACCTGAATCATGAGCACATCTGAAGCCTGGACTAGGGAATGATCAATATGCTTAGGGAACCTACATTCACAGGCCAAAAGGGATCAGACAACTTCTTAGGTAAGGCCCTGGAGAAGCGTGTCCTCCAGAATTTCCCTAGGATAGACAGTTTCATTTTTCTACAAACACTTCTCAAGCAACTTTTGTGGTAGCGGCACTATGATAGCTTGGTAGCCTGAAAAGTATATAACAGGGAGGTGTGGTTTATAGGCCAAGGTGTCTGGTAAACAATAGGGTATTAACATATCTAGCTATTCCATAAAGTGTCTGCTAGAACAAGAAGAGTAAACTATTCAATAAAAATTTGAATTTAAGATGGACTCAGCAATAAAATATTTTTTGTGACTACTTAGTGAAAAAAGAAAAAAATCTGATTACATCAATAAATTATACCATTTTATAAATTTTGGTTGAAACTGAAATGAATTTCTCCTTTCATTTAATGGCTAAGGTTGGGATTTGTTATTTTGAATACAACAGTTTTATAATTTACCCACAGCATAAGATGTAACAAAACAAATTTCCCATTGCAATGATTCTAGCTTGTAGAAGATTCTCTACAAAGATACTTCTGTTTGCTTCATAGTTAATCTGTGAATAGATGTTGGGACACTTATGGTTTCTTCTGGGCCAGGGCAGTGGTGACAGAAGGGGGCACAGTGTTGCCAGAGGCAGGCCTTTCCAGGACTGAGGAAGGCCAGAGTTCTGGGGCTGGGGTTCTCCTGTCACCTTGCAGTGCTAAAAGAGGAACTTCTCTAGGAGAGGTTAAGTGCCAAAAGCAGAAAGAAATCTCTGTTCTAGAACATAATGCCATTATCTCCTACATTTTTTTCTCCCATAATGAGGTTTCTGATTAAGTGTGTCACTGGAATTTGTCCCCTCTAGTAATATAGATATCGTATAATCTTTCTAGTTCCTTTTCTAGGGAGTGTTAGTACTCAGATTTACCTACTGGGCCCAAATCTACTCCATGACTAAGCCACTTTCAGGTTAGTTACCACTTTCAGGCTATTACCTACCTTTGGTGTAATAAAGAAGTACTGAGAAGTGTTTTCTTTACAAGCAGTATTTACAACCATCTCAAACACTCTGCGTTCATTGATTGGGTCCATTCCCTAAACAATGACAATAATAATGATTGCATTAAATCTAGTATGAGATACAAGATACGGTCAAACCAAAGTAAAAGAAGAATCACTATACCTGGTTGATTTCATCAACTACTCGGAATGGACACCTATTAAGCTCCTGAAGTGCCATCAAATACAACATGGTAGACACGCTTCTTTCACCTCCACTTTGATGATGAGGAGTTAACTCGTGCAGCTGGGTACTACTGCGAAATTTGACTCTAATTCGAATTCCATATTTATCATAGTCTTCCTACAAGACATTTAAAAATGCGATGAAAGATGAGAGTATTCTCTGGTAATGTCATACTATTACTTAAAAAAGAGACTGAATTAAATCAATTATAAGAGTAAAAAACTTAAAATTTAGTGAGAGTTTAATTAATCAAAATATTAAAGAACCAGTAGCTATTTACAAGTTTTAGTAGGTCTTTGAGGATCTATTTTGGCAAGAAAAATAATCAGATTAAGAGTAACTTTTCCCTCATCTCATACCACTCCTTTCAAGTTGCGTAGGCTTTCCCAACAGTTTTTAGTAATTACTGAGTGAAAAGCCCTGGAAATGCACTATTTATTCTAGCTCCTAAAATGATAGGTGCAAATAATTAGAACACAATGGAATATCATGCCATTTTCTACTAGACAGGCAGCTGTGACTTAAAAATTTTTTCAATTAAATCAAATATATACACACGATACTTGGCAAAAGCCTGACATATAAGTGCTCACTAAATATTTGTTGTAAAGAGCACATTTAGTGTTCTTTAAATTTTACCTAAAATGAGGCTGCTCTAAGGCTTACTTACTGCTCTTTTAGTAATTTCTAGAGCAGTCAGGTTCAGATTTACTTTAAAAATGAACTATATAACTTGATAATTAAAGGTTAACTACTTAATGAATAGAGCTTTAAATTCTAAGACAGCACTGACCAAGAGACATAATGCAAGCCACAAATGCAATGGGTCTCGAGTTCGATTCCTGGTTACGGGCATGTGCCTGGGTTGTAGTTTGACCCCTGGGGTCATGCGGGAGGCAACCCATCAATGTGTCTCTCACACATCCATGTCTGTCTGTCTCTCCCTCTCCCTACCTTCTTCTCTCCCTATCTAAAAATCAATGGAAATATATCCTTGGGTGAAAATTAACAAAAAACAAAAACAAAAAAAAAGGTAAAAATATGTGAGGTTAGCCTGGGCTTGTTTGGCTCAGCGAACCAAAGAGTTGCGGGTTCAATTCTGGTCAAGGGCATATACCTCGGTTGTGGTTTGTACCTAGCCCTGGTCAGGTCGTGTAGGAGGCAGCCAGTCAGTGTGTCTCTCTCACATCGGTGTTTCTCTCTCTCCTTCTCTACCCCTCCCTCCCACTCTATCTGAAAATAAATGGAAAAATATCCTCCAGTGAGGATTAAACAAACAAAAAAGTGAGATTTTAATATATTTTATTTAATCCAATATACCCAAAATATCTTTAACATGTAATCAATATAAAATATTTTAAGAAGATATTTTACATTCTTTTCTCATACTAAGTCTTTAAAATTTGTGTACTGTACACTTAGCGGCTACCATACTGGACAGCATAGGTCTAAGATTAACAGTAACAACTGCTATAAAACTACAAATATCTTAAGCATAAATGTAAGAATCCTGCGAGCTATAAATTTTAGAAATACCCCACCTTCAATCTTTTTGCCCTCCAAAACCAAAACATGTAAATGACAATACATTTTAATAGTTTTGATTCATAAGGTTTAATTTTTAAATTTATACATTGCATTTATTCCACAATAAATTTATTAACTATACCACCTCTTAACTATATACTAGCTTTGATTGCTAGAGTTTTATTTTTGGCTCTGCCACCCATACTTTGCTTATTCTAACTTCCTTCATCTCACTGAGAGCTCTGGCTAAAGAAGGCAGTTCTAGAACCATGGCCAAGGGGCCCAGAATAGAAACATTCCGAGGGGAGGCTGAGAAGAGATGAGAAAGTCCATTTCCCCAGACCCATAGATAGGTAGAACAATTGGACTAACAAGGCTAAGAATCACTGCGAAGGAGTAAGTTATCATTTAAAACACAGAAAAACTATCCAGAAGAAACAGCACACAATAATGTTATAGCACCATGCAACAGGACCTAGATTAAAGAATGGGATTTCTAAGACAGGGCTAACTCTACGGTTTCCCATGCTTAGTTGACATATTCACGCCTTATCTAGTCAAGCTGTTTAATAAAGATACTGTAGTTACTTTGAATTTGACAAAGCTCTCAGTAATCAAATTTTCATCCCATAAAAACTATACTACCACTAAAGAGGCAGTAGTAAGTAAGAGCTTAGGCTTTGGGATCAGGTCTGAGGTTTGATTTTTTTTTTTTTTGCTTTGCCTCTTGGTAGTTGTATGACCCTTTAATCAAGTTTCCATAAGTTTCAGTTTCTTTATTTGTAAAACATGGTTGTGAGGATTGAACAAGATAACAAATATAAAAGTGCTTGACACAGTGCCTGGCACATAGGAAATATATGATAAATTGTTACTACAATATGTTCCTTAATGCAAACAAGCCCAAAGACTGGGTAGACGACAATTACTGTGATGGGTCTACTATCTTACTAGAACTTAAAAGTGAAATGAAGTATGCTATCCTTATGTCTCACACTAAATAGATGGGATCACAGGGTAGAGTTCCTAAGGGGAGAAAAAGGCCCTACCATAGCTTTATATTTATGTAGTAGACATGTAAAATTGCCTACAAGCTAAAACGAAAAATGCAAATGTTGAATTGTGAAGGCAACACATTTTTTAATCTTCATTTCTTTCTTTCTAAAAAAAGAACTTATTAGAGAAAATGTCAATATCTACAGAATTAGAACACTAAAACTAAAATAAGTCCAAATATATCAATTAGTCTCAACTATAATCAATACATGACCATTCTTATTTCACCTATACCTTCACCCAACTCCTCTTTCATTATTTTGAAGCAAATCCCAGTTCATCTCTTTATACATTTTTAGATGATAATTTTATCTTACCCATAATTGCAATGCATAAAGTTATAGCTCAAGAAATTAGCAGCAAATTTTCAAATATTTTCATGCTTCTGAACTGTTAAATTCTTGAACAAAAGGAAACCACTGATATTGTACTTTATTTCAGTTAGGTTTGCCAATTTATGACTTCTAACTTGGATAGTGGTAGATTTATAAAGTAATGCAATGCATTTGCTCATCACAGGTGAATAACTATTACTTAGTCTGAATATAAAAAGAGTCAAGTATTAGTCAACGATCTCAAATGTCACACACATACACAAAAGTGACCCTGATGAAATCCCATTAGTGGTCCTTAAAGTTACTTGCCAGGAAACATTTCAAATGCAATTTTACCTCATTTTCTATATGGAGATCAACTTCACCAGCACATTGCATGGAACTAAAAAAATTGCTGAATTTTTCATTAATTTTTTCTACCAGCTCTTTTAAAGGATTAAGCCACCTCTCTTTTACCTGCAAATAAAGGCAAAATAAAAACACAATTTAAAAGAAGCGTTATTACATTCTGATATACAATTTTACATAAAACAAATTTAATATCAGCATTAAGCTAGTCATGAGAACATACACTGCACTTTTTCTTAGAAGCATATCATTTCATTTTGCATTATTCTACATTCTCATATGATTAATGGTAAGAACATGACAAAAAGAAAAGATAAAGATTAAACAATTACCTGTGAAATGCTTTCCCTATATTTATCCAGTTCAACTTTCTTTATCTTTAGTTCCTCAGTTAATTGCTCTATTTCTTCTTCTCTTTTTGTATATTCCTCAACAACCTGGCAGAGAAAAATTATTTCTTTAAGATAAATCTACCAAAGGATAAAATTACAATTTGCGTCAATTAAGGCATAACTGAAAATGCCAATGTGTTGCTTTGTTTGTATGTTCTTATAACATACTGAAAATGCCATTTTTTATTCTCAAAAAAAAAAAAAAAAAAATAGACTACAGTATTTCAGGTTAGCCCAACTATTCTTTTTATAAAGAAAAGGCACAGAACACTGTGTTCCTTAGGAAGAATCTATTTAAAATTCTAATAGATTCAGAAATCTGGCATTTAAAGCACATTGTTCCTGCTGTCTAGCTTATTATTACCAAGAGCTCTAGTACAGAGTGGGAGGCAAGCACTGGAGGAAACTGTATGTGCATGCGTCGTGTGTATGGGGAGGGCGGTGGTGGTTGAGTAGGCAATAGGGAAAAAATCATACTGTAGGATTCAGTCCTGTGAAGCAAGAAGCTCTTGATCTTTCTTCAGTTAATAAAGCATCAATTTCATCCAATGTGTTTGGAAGATCTTGGAAAGCCTGAAGAAGAAAAAAATTACCCATCATTGTAGATAGTACAGTGAAAACAGTTACATTCGAATAGTTACAAGAAAACATTCTGCTGAATATCTACTACTACGTGTTCAACAGCATGCTAACACACAAGGAATCAAAGAAATCATAAACAGGGTTTTTGCTTTCAAAAAGATAACGCTTTAGAAGTAACAAAATATATACACTTAACACTGGATAATACCTTAAGGCAGTGTACTGATGTTGAGTATTAAAATAAGCACTACATATCATATAGGCTATGGAATTTAGAGAAGTAAGTATCAGTTCATGCTATAGGAGCTACAAGAGAGGAAGAGAATTCAGAGGCCCAGAATTCATCTCTGGGCCTTAAAGCAAATGGCTAAGAACAAGCAAGGCAGCGGGGGAGATAGGAGTTTGGAAAAAAGAATGAGCACTGCATACCATGGGGGGTGAGGAGTTGTGTCCATTTGGAATGGTGGGTACTTGCTGAATTGGTAGAATGGGTCCAGAATATGTGGGGCATTGAAAGAGAGCAAGAAGTTAGAACTTTATACTGTACTTATAAAAGCATCCTAAGAATCCAATTACTTTGACAGAATTTTACCATGGTACTATCTTCTCAGTCCATGCCATAGTGACAAATTAGAACAAATTCTCTCCTGTGAGGAGAAGCAAGCAGTACACTGTTTTCCCAGCAAAACCTGCGAAGTTTATATACTATAAGGTACAAGGTGAATCTTGAAACTCTGAAAAAGATCCTGACATTACATTAATCTAATAGCTTAAGTTTTTTTTTAACCTTTTAGAAAGCAGTTCAACTTCTATAGGACTTCAGATATTTGTCAAGTATATTTTGCTGGATCTGACTGTCCACTGAGCTTTGAATTCATGTGCTCAACACTTAATATCTTCACTTGACTCTCTAAGAGGCATCTTAAATTTAAGACGGTAAAAGAGAAATCTTCATTTCACTCATCTTCCCCACCAATTTGAGCAAACCTATTTCTATTCTTCAATCATCAGTTTAATATATGGCAAAATTTAAGGGTTCTCTTATTTCACCTCAAATCCATTAGCATGCCCTGCTGGCTCTGTCTTTAAACAATGCCTCAAATCCATAAACTTCTCTGTCTCCAGTGTTTCCTCCCTAGTCCATGCCACTGTAAGCTCTTGTCTAGTCCACAGTAATAATCTTCTAAATGGTCTCCCTGCTTCCAGTCTGGTATCCCTACTTTATTTTTCATACAGCAGTTAGGAGGGCTTATTTATTTTTTCAATTAATAGTTTAAGTTCATTAAGTAATACTAATAGAAAATTCTGCCAATTCTGATAGAATGAGAACATTCTTTGAAGTTCATTTTATTTTAATGAACACAATAAACCGACCAACTAAATAGATCTAGAGGTATGGAACAGACTGACAGACCTCAGAGGGGATAGGGGGCGGGGGGTAGAGGGGATGAGAAGAGAATTAACCAAAGAACTTATATGCATATATGTACTGCCCATGGTCAAAGACAGTAGTGCAGTGAAGGCCTGGGGTGGGGTGGGAACTGGGTGGAGGGAGACAATGGGGAGAAAAAGCAGGGGGACATCTGTAATCCTCTCAACAATAAAGATAAACAAACAAAAAAAAACACATTTACTTTTCAATTACAGTTTACTTTCAATATTATTTTGAATTGGTTTCAGGTGCACAGCATAGTGGACAATCGTATACTGTAAACAGTGTTCTCCCTTGATATTTCCAGTAGCCAGTCATATCATTCCTGTCTGAAATCCTCCAAGATATTCCATCTCAAATAAAACACAAACTCCTACGGTCTGTAAGGCCATATATGATCGGACTCTGATGATAATTTTTAGCCCAACTGAGATTCCTGTTAATCTAAAACATGTCAAATATTCTTTTGCCCCAGAGGCTTTGTATGAGCTGTTTCCTCTGCCTGCGACACTTTTCCCTGAACTCTTCCTTGGATTGATTTCTTCTCTTCAGCCAGGATTATCCAAAATATCTTCTCAAAGGAACCTTCCTTGACACTCTATCCTCTTACCTTTTTTTTTTTTTAATATTCTTAGCACCTCTTGCTATCTGACACTATTTCCTTTTTTATTTAAAAATTTTTTTTTCTTTATTGACGAGAGAGAGAGAGGAAGGGAGGAGGAGAGAGAGACAGAGAAATCTATGAGAGAGCACATCGAATGGCCACCTCCATCATGCCTCCCATGGCGGATCGGGCCTGCAACCTGGGCATGTGCCCTGACCGGAAATTGAACCGGCGACCTCTTGGTGAATGGGCTGACACTCAGCCATGAGCTACACCAGCTGGCCTGACACTATTTGCTTTTTTATGCATTTTTTGTCTGCTTCACAGTTCAGACTAGAATATAAATTTCAGTAGAGAAGGAAGTATATCTGTCTTGTTCAATGATGTGTGTGTGTGTACATATGTATATGTATGTGTGTGTATTAGTACACACACACACATTTTTAATGAATATATTAATTATTTTCTAACTTTGTCCCTTTCAAAAACAGTATGACTTATCAAGGATAGAATCATGCTATTTTTCTGAAAGAAAAAAATTAGTATAGATATATTAACATTTATTACTTTTATAACTCAATGTATTTGAGAAATTGTAGTATATTTTTGGAAACAATAGCTCTCAACTTGTCTTTAAAAATCTACTAAATCCTACTATGTACCCAGTCAGATCTAGTCTCTGTGATTTCTATGTCTAATACTATATTGTAAAATCTTTAATAATTTAAAAATTATTCAAATTAATTTTTTCCAGTTTTATTTATATCCTTAGTAGACATTTCATTATCTACTGAAATAGATAACATTTGAAATTAATAAAAAAACTCATACAAATACCAGATATTTTAAAATTTATTTTTTATTCATTTTCTGATTGTGACATTATTCTGAGAGAAGAGGTATATAAGCAAGGTATTATTCCTACTTGTCAGATAAAGCTTAGGGTCACAGGGCTATATAATTAATAGAGGAACTTAGACTAAAGGGCGGTATATATCCTTATTTTACTAATTGAACGATATATCAGTATAAAAAAATATAATGAAAGATGAAAAGGCTCTTTCCTCCCTTACCAACAAATGTTATCCCTAAAGATTCAGCTCCCATTGAACTCCAAATATAACCCTAATATCCAGGAAAACATCTTCATTTTGCCTGTTCTCCTAATATCACCTCTACTTACTGTTTCTTATGTAGCATTACTGGTACTATGTTTCCATGAAAAACGACATCCCATTTTCAGACCTTACCCCTTTAAAGGTGGCTTGGTGTAAAATAAATCTTTTATTAGAATAATGGATGTTATGGTACTAATAATTTTGCAAGGTGTAATACCCATGTTTTAAAAACTTTAGTATTAAGCAACATGACTGATTGGTGAAAGTTTAAGTACAGTACAGAAAATCTGTTAAGCAAGATTATACACTCAGTTAAAAAATTGGGAGGAAATGCCCTACTTTTCATGGCATATCATAGTTTTTCATGGACCATTACAATGCCTAACACATTTTAAGCTTACATTAATGTTAACTTGTGGCATTATATACTTTTTATACTTACTGTCTGATATTCTTGAGGAACGGTCTGCTCTGCACCAAGGTTACATACTTGCCTAGCTCTCCTCATAAGTTCCTTGCATTTCTGCAATAGTCTCTGTCTATTTTCATCCAACTCAATGAAATGTTGCTATTACAACAAAAAGAAATATTTTGGAAATTTGAACACAGGGCTATTTTATTAAATTACCACAATATTACATATCAAATAAATTATAAATTTTGATTGTGATAAGCAAATAATCTGAAAACTGTGATGAGCAAATAATCTGAAAACCGTATCTCAAATCATGACTGCTTTTATTGTAAAGGTTAAATTTAAACTTAAAAAGAAATCAGCACATTAATATACAGCACTTCTCTAATCCATAAGAGCTTTACAATTTAAACTGAATTACCTTTTCCTCAGTTTAATTTAGCTACCTATAATTTCACTCTAATAAAATTTGAAATACACACTGTAGGCATCATCTCAAAAACTCAGCACTCAAATGTAAGTAGAACCTTTAGTATTAGTTTTCCAAATGCCTTTCATGTACCTATCATTTATTCACGGACACATTCATTCCTTCACCAAATAATTATTTAGAAACTATTAAATGACAGTTTTTATTATGCACTGAGCAGAGAAATGTAAGGGGAAAGACACACAAAATCACTGTAGAAGAAACCGCTATTATTTATTAAAAACTTAGGTGCTAGGTACTTCATACACATTATTTCTCACTTTGCGCACGCACGCACACACACACACACACACACACACACACACACACCGGGGGGGGGGGGGGGAGACACACACACACTAAGAGGAATTAAAGCAACTTGTCCAAACACATTTAGCTAGAGGCTGGCAGGATTCACTCTATGCCTACTTACAAAACTCATGCTCTTTGCATTCTAGCATGATGCCTCTCACTGGGAGATGACTGAACAGAGGAAAGCAAAAGAGTATGTGTATGGTGGGGGCAGAGGATGCAGGAAGGTCAGAGTAGTCACAGAAGTTATGACACATGAATGGTCTTAAAAGACAAGTAAGAAATTACTAAGGAGGAAGCAGCACAAGGCATTCCAAGGATAGGTGATCACACATGTAAAGACAATGGAAGCCTCAAAGACCCACCTATTTATGCACAAGATCTAACGTGCAGAGGAGAGGTAAGGATATAAAAAATCAGTGGCAAAGTGGGTAAGAGCTAAATGGGAAAAGTTTCATGTGTAATGAAGAAGGTCATCATGGATTGCCTTCTGTGGGCCAAGCTTTGTTGTAACCACTATATGTTAATTAATCTAATTCTCTTAACAATCTAAAAGAAATATATTATCTCCTTTTCTAGACATGGTTCAGATATTAAGAAACTTGTTCAAGATTATGGAACTAATAGGTCAGCAGGTTTCTGAGAAAGAAGATAGGTCTAGCTTGCTCTTTCCATTAAACTTCAAACTTTGGTCTGCACAAAAAAAGACCCAGGGTGGGGGTAGGGGTAGGATTTTTAACAGTATGGATACCCCAACCACATGCCAGATCTGTTCGATTAAGTTCTCTGGGGCTGAGTCCTGGACATCTGTATTATTAACGAGGTCCTCGGGTGATTAAAAAAAAAAAAGTTTTAAATGATTTTTAGAGACAAAGTAAGGGAGAAATAGAAACATCAATGTGAGAGAGAGATATCGATCAGCTGCCCCCTACACATGCACACACACACACTGAGGATCGAGCCCGTAACCAGGGAACATGCCCTGACTGGTAATCATACTGGGACCTCTCAGTCCATGGGGCAACGCTCAATCCACTGAACCACACTGGCTTATATTTAAGCATACAAATTTGATAGCAAATAAACTAAACCAAGACAAATGTTATGAAAAGTTAGAGGATATACTGGACTGAACCGAAAATACAAGCAAGCCTTCATACTAATCACTATGGCTTCCTTGAATTAATTCCTCAGCCCCAACACCCTGAGAGAAATAAAAGAAAATGTTAAAGACCCCTAGTCACCCCTACTCTGCTCTCAAGGGCCCAACACACTCAGGCAAATGTAAAACAAAGGGCAGCTGGATGGAAACGAAACACTTTTAGTCTCCTATCCTGCTTCCTATTCCTCTGGACCTTGCTAAATGAAGTGTTACAACATTATGGAGAAGAAGTATCCTTGAGTTGGACACTTAAGGATCTTTCCTTGGGACAAAACCTCATTCAACAATTTCCTTCTATTTGGTGGTATATGTCTAATAAATCTTTACCAGAGATGTTCCTAGAATACACACATTAAAAATTTTATTTATTGATTGATGGAGAAGGGGGGGGGGGCAGGAAGAAACACTGAATACACATCTATCAGCTGCCTCCTTGCACAGGCCCTGACAGGATCAAACCTGCCACCTTTGGTGCATGGTACGACATTGCAACTGAGCCACACAAGCCAAGGCTATACATACATTTTAGTGACATACCTCTTCACATAGCATCTGCCCCCCCATTATTGTTTGAATTTGTTTTGGGGGAGGGTAAGGAGTGGAAAGAAAGGGAGTACAGAATTACATAAGATAATGTACAGTTAGGCTAGTAAAAGGGCTATATATACATTTCTATTTAGAGTCTAGCCTACAATAGTTAATAGACAATAGAAACATTTCATCTATGTAACAAATATAAACAATATATAAAAAATACTTCCCACCAACATCTCAGAAACATTAGTATTATCTTTTCTCTGAAATTCTTTTTGAGAAAATTCAATTGTCATGAAAGGTGTACAGAAATAACGACATTAAACAAGGAAAACCTTCTCTAAGAGGGCCCTCTAGTGGACGAAATCAGAATTGTTCATAGAATTTCTTATTAAATAGCATATACACATGAAATTAACACAGTAATTATTCTATGTAACAACTTGTTAAAATAAGAGCCAAATAAAATGAAAAACATTTTCTATATGAAAGAAACCAAACTAAGTTCTAGATAGCATGAGTTTTGAACTTTTATTAAAATACTAGTTGTAAATTAAAACATTTCTTCCTCAATTTTCCTTTAATACAAATACAAGCACAAAATTTCATTCCAATTTAAATGGTCTCAAAATCAAATGTTACCAGTAAGTTTTACTACATATAAGACAGGATACATATTACAATAAAATAATGGCAATAACACTATTTACTTGGTAAATAGTCTACCCTGTCCCCAAATGTATCTTATTTTTAAAATGTCTCCTTTGAAATTTCTGTGTGTGGGAGAGTGCTAAGTAGGCAGAGGAGACCACCTTAGATGAAAGCACAGAATTTAGATTAGGACAAACACATTTCCAATTCTCTAATTTGTATCGATCCTGATGTCCATCTATACTTTTAAGGAAATACTGGCTTCATGGTAGGTGGCACACTAAGCACCTTAACATATATTATTAAATTGATACCACAATATCCCTGCAAGTCAGGTAGGTATAATATCTACGGCTGAAGATAACAGGCTTGGAGTGGTTAGGAAACTTGCCCGAGGGAAATAACAAAAACAAAAAGTAATAGATGTATGCCCATTTGTCTATCTCTATATCTGGATTGTCCTAAAAATATCCCAGAAGGTAGTGACATAATTACCAAACAGAGGCTCACAACCATTCGCCTTTCTCGGGGGATGTTTTGTAGGTCTGGGATCCCGTTTCTCTATTTTCTTTCTCCAACAATTTGAGGAGGTGTCAAACTTGAGGATGGTGGTCAGCTACCCCTAATTCCCTCAAGGATGACAATCCCCTCTGAAATTTTGTGTCAGCCTTCTTTTGTGAACTTGTATGTTTCCATGATCAGGACAAAACCAGAAGTGGTAATAATGATTCCTTAGTGCAATCTGCCAGGTATTCAAAGGATAAGTGTGTGTGTGTGTGTGTGTGTGTGTGGGGGGGAGTGATAAATTTCTCCTTGTTTCAAATAAAGCAGGACAGCAAGAAGAAGGGTAAAAACATATGTATGGGTAGCACTGGCCGGTTTGGCTCAGCGGTTGGAGCATTGGCCTGTGGACCGGAGAGTCCCAGGTTCGGTTCCCACTGGGGGCACATACCAAAAAACAAACAAACAAACCAAAAAACATGTATGGATAAAGGACAGCAAACATGAAAAGAAAAAACAAGAAAAAGAGGAAAGTGAACTACCATATACCTGCTCTACTATGTATTCTTTCACTATCATTCCTATTTAAAATGTAGGTAGTGATTATGGTCAGCTGGTAACAAATTTATCAAGTATACACTGCAAAAAATAAAACTTTATGATAGGGTTGGTAAAATAATTATAAATAAAAATATTAAATAATTTTCAGATCAAAGGAAAAAGGGAGAACTGTGCAAAATATTGCTAAGGAAAAAGTGAGGGGTTGTACCAACTAAGATTAGTATGGAAAAACCTGTCTAGGGTGGGTGTGCGTGTGGAGGGAGGAGGGTAAGAAGTGGAGAACTTAAGTGGGTATTATTTCCAGGTAACAAAATCTAGAGGGACAAATACCTAATCAGAGGTTATTTCTCTGGACAGTATAATGTGGCCATCTTTGTAAACAATTAGTGACTCAAAGACTGAAAATAAAACATCCTCCCAAGAATCTCTCCTACAGCTCCATTTGAAATATGAATGTTTCTACTACTACTAACAATGGATCATAAGAATACCCTGTCATTCTGCACCTAATCTTCTTCTAAAAACTTATCTTTAGTGTAGAGTGTATTACAGATGCTTACTCCTTTTCCCCCTATTGACCCCCTCCACAATGCCCACCCCCTTCCCCACACTACTGTCTATATGCATAGAAGTTCTTGGTTTATCTCTTCACCCCTCCTCCCCCTTCCCTCTGAGGTTTCTCAGTCTAATAACCAATTTGCACTTCTTAATTCCTTCACCTTCTTCACCCATTACCCCAACCAACCCCCTCCCATCTGGCAACCAACAAAAAGTTCTCTGTGTCCGAGTCAGTTTCTGTTCTGCATGTTCATTTTGTTTGTAGATTCGATTGTTGATAGATATGTATTTATTGCCATTTTATTGTCCATATTTTTTATTTTCTTTTTCTTCAAGAAGATCCTTCACATAATACTGGTTTGGTGGTGAACTCCTTTTAGCTTCTTCTTGTCTGGGAAACTCTTT